GGCTCACCTATTTGTAAAATCTAAGTGACTTTAAACACAATAAAAACAGCACTATGTAGTTGGATACGACAGACATTACATTTTCTAATTGCATAGCTTTTGCACATAGATTTTCTTGTGCGATGAGATATAAATAATTTAGAAAAATTCTGTTCTCCCATTTTTTGTTTGAATAAGGAAATGACTCCCTTATTTTTTCCTGTCATTGCTGCCACAACACTTCAGAAAATAATATTCAATTTAAACTAGACGAATTACGTCGAAAAATATTTATTTATAATTTCTTCTAAACATCTCGCGGGCCGGATAGAAACTTTTCGCCAGCCCCGCGGGCCGGGGGTTGCCCACCGTTGATCGAGATAACACTTCCACTAAAAAGGGACATCCTTTGACAACATGAGAGGACCTCAAGTTAGGGTAGGGAAAGCGTTAAAATCACTTCGATAACGGCCTCTGTAGTCTCACAAGGACATGTAAAAACAGTATAATCGTTTGTTTTGTAATATGTAGTTTTCACGTAATTTTTACCATAACTTTTGTACCTGACAAGTTAACATCTCTAATTAAAAAAAATACGCATTCTTTAAACATTCCTATACAAAATTTACAAATTTTCCTGCAATTTTTGCTAGGTTTTCTACCTCATACCGTAAATAATTTGTTGGGTTAATATTGAAAATGTGATGTTGCTTAAAAATTTCTTGCTCTTATAGTTTGATTCTGTCTTATATATGTATACACACACACACACATATATATATATATATATATATAATCGAGACAAGTTGATAATAATAATAAGCGCAGAGCCCAAATGATTAGGAGTTGAAAGTTAAAATTTGGAACACAGTTAGGGTACGTCACGAGANTTAAAATTATGAAAATAGATTTAAATTCAGTTATTGCTAGCCATAAAAATTGTTTAGATTTCTCTTAAAAATCTATTAAACGAAATGATATCATTGGTGGAAAATAAGGAGGACAAATAAAATTCTACTGGTGAACATTTGCTGTCTACAAAAATATTAATATTCTGACGTCAGCCAGTCACGTAAACTGAATTAGTATATAAGTCAGAAATATAGTAATTTAGAGAATACATTCAATCAGTTTCTTTTACTGCTTGTTGGGAAAATCGATCGATTGTCGAAGATGAAATCCGCTTTGATCTTCCTGTTTGGATTTATTGGTACGTAAAATTTCTCTTATTCTTTATGCATGTGTATTGATTATACTTGTATGGGTATATGACAATAAATGTGTATATAATTTCCACTTTTATTATAACTGTACTGTCTTACTTGATTATGCCTATTTTATTGGTAAATTATAGAAATTTCTTCCATCCCAACGAGAAATGTTAGTTCAAAGATCAATTAGTTGATAAGTTATTGTGCAGTTAGAAAAATACAATTCGTAATTTCATATTTTATAAATTGTTTAATTATTGTTCAACAAGTCATTAGCAACACTTATGAGAAATCAATGTCAATTAATGAGGGGAATGTTCAAAAAGTTATTGTCAGTGTGAGCATATGACATTGATCATAGGGATAAGAATGAATAATTATATTCTTAACAGAAAACTTTACTAAGTTGTCTAGTGTTTCGATAAAAATTTGACGCGAATTGTAAATGTTATATTATCATCAATTAAACTGTTCGTAATATAATACACTACATACCATTATATAGAATATAATGACTTTTTATATAACTTACATGAAGAAAACAGTAAATCTAGCAGGAAAAATATACTAGAAAAAGGAATAAATTCAATCAAGACATATAAAAACACAATACTGTATTTGTAAACATCAATATATCATAATAATTGCATTTACTTCTGAATAATTTATTTATTGCTTATGTTTTCATTTGTTTTTATAATTACATATAATTATGATACTTTTATTTTGTAGGAATTAATATCGCTATGGCGCAGAACGATGGAAGCGTAAGTGAAGTTTATTTTATATGTAGTGTATTTTATATGTAGCCTTTAACTCTGAGTTAGGCTTAAACAGCAGCCACTGACTACAACAATAGAGTGTAAAAAAATCACTTGTCGTTTTTGAAAAAAATGGCCGCTGTTTAGAGGGTGTCCGTTATTAGAGGTTCGACAGTATGACTGCTATTGTTAGTATTAATTTAAAATTATGCACGTATTAAAGATAAAATGTGAATTTTAATGCTAATATTTAATAATAATTATAGGTAATGTTTTGTTAGAATTACCCAATATTACTCTTTAATATTATTACCTGTCTCTTACAATAGCGTACATTGTAGGTCTAAAAGTTTCGCTTAATTTACAAATATCCGAATATTTATTTACCTTGAGTATAGTAAAGTTGAAACTCACCCCAATACATTTTAAATATAGATTAGCTGGAAATATAGCAGTTAGATATTGTTATGGGTAAAATGGCAACGGTTTACCACACGAGACGAACGATAGCACACCTAGCGATAAACTGTAGCAGTCATATTTAAGAAACTATGTGAGACAGAAGAAAGTAAATAAGAAGTTGGAGATTATCTGCAAATTAGCAGGAAATAATGTTTATTTTTAACATATCCGTCTGTGCCTTTGTAGCTCTAGCTATCTTCGATGAAAGGTTATTTGGGCGACTTAAAACTTTACTCAGCGGCCTGTAATTTGCCTACCAGAAAATTTTACGAAAAATAAAAAATGTTTGTACTAAATGCATGACGTAATGTTACAAGTTATATCTGCATACTTAAACTATCGTGATAGACCTGAGATATTTTATTCTATTACTTGAAAATAGTATAAATCACTTTTTATCATTTGAACAGAAGAAAAGTATAATTCCCATATTTAAAGAACTAAATTTAAATTTTATATAAAAAATATTTTTAGCGTGTTGCTTAGTTTCTGATAACGACAGTTTAATTATAATGAAATATGCTGGACATTTCGATCTTTAAATAATTTAATTTATAACAGTTTTTATCGGTGTTACCAGATAAATTATCTGACAAGCTTCTTGAACGATGTTTCTGGCACTCATAATTTACAAAGTTAATGTAGTAAGTAGTGTCGTGTCTTATGAGAGTGAACTTTAAAATTTTAAGTAAAATTATTACTTATTATATAAAAAATGCATCGTGTTGGAGGGTAGGAGTGAGTTTATAAAGAAGTACTAATAACGTGTAGAACTTTCGTTAAACGTGACCTGATTAGAGATACATTACTCTCTATATCTCCCTATCTCATTTACAATTAACTCTTATTGTCTAATGGCATCGATGCCTGATATATAAAAGTAACCCTGCAAAGTTTTCAAATTTTTATCATGCATACATCCAGAAATTTGTATGGGTGATTTAACAGTTATGTTTTTCATGAATGTAAAAACGTCAAAAAATGCAATAATAATAGGACCATAATTTGATATGGTTTTTTTATGTTATATTGTATAACAGTAGGAAAGTAAAAGCTTTAATTTAAAAACATAAAAATGTTTTCTCTTCTTACTTTTTAACTTTTTACGGTATTTTTTATTTGTAAATAATCGTTTTAAAACAAGTGTGTTTTTTTTCAAAGGAGTTCTGTTCTATTCTTTAAGTAAATGTGAGATGATATCAGAAAAATTATTAAACATGTTTGTTAGTTTTGAAATTAATTTAATATGTTATATAATCTGGAGTAACAATAAAATTATTTTGTCTAAAAATTTTAATTAGTAATTAAATTATTTTCGTAATATATCAAAATATATTCAACTATTCGTTTATAATTTTATTTTATGCAGGCAGCTGCAACTCAAAACGTAAGTTATTTGTAATTTTGTGTATTTATGACATTTTTATTCGTTGTGGAACTGTAAAGTATAATTTAGTTAAACTCAAAAAATACACTATTGTTAAATTCTTCATAATTTGATTTTACATCTGACGAGTACTTGTTGATTAAAATGTAATAATAAAGAATTATATTTAGAAATGACTATTAAGATTCAGAAATAAACGTTGTAAGTTATGTTGTAATAGAACTGAACACTATTGTGTTCTTAGAATAGACATATTATTACCGGTAAAAGTAGTATTTTTAAACTTCAATAAAATGAAACCATTATTAATCAGCTTGTCTTATTTCTAAAATCGCGCTGTTGTCAATGGCTTCACATCTTAGAGGTATGAAGGAGTACATTTAAAGAGTTGCAATTTGACACAGCGTATTTGGTGCCCGAATCATGCGCACATAAAATAAACCAGACTTCTATGTAGTGAGGGGACCGGATCAAAAGAAAATACGATATGTTTCTACAAACAGGCGTGAGTGCGAAATTTACCCATGCGTTGCTTGCTCTGTGCGAGACATAGTCTATCAAGAATGTCTTCGCTGTTTTATATGTTTCATAAAAAATTGGAATTTTTATAAGTACTCGAAATCTTCTTGAAAATTCTACTGAATTTCAACTGATTTGTGTAATGTAATTAACATAATGTAGTCTACATGAAAAACTGATTTGGTTTTTCTTACTTCATAGCGTTAAATTTTAGTGTGATAGCAAGGAAAGAAAAAAAAAATTGAATTCAGACGTTTTTTCATCTGAATAAATTGAATTACAGTAAAAACTTTTTTATTATTTCCTGCTGGTTACGTGCGCTTGAAAGAAACTTTAAACAAATGACGATTATGTAATTGAGCGAGTTATATACTGATTTTATGATGAAATTAAAAATATATTAAATGAGCTCATCTATAATCTAAAGCTAGTAACAGCACATCTACGAACCAAGAGTAATCCGTTGAGCCTTCCAAATGTATATAACCTTCACCTTGATATTTCCCCTAGTATATATATATATACGTCATATTTAGTTTTTTCTTCTTCATGTACGTTAAACCTATTGTATGACTGCATGAATTAGACAATTCTATTTGAATTTGTATTACGGCTATCAGAGGATATTATGTAGTTATAGATCTAAAGTAGTAGTGGGTGTTAACACTAGTGACTTCGTTCTATTCTGATGTTTATGAATCTTTTGTCCTTACTTCGTTCGAGTCTATGTCCCAGCAGCAAGTGAAGGCTTTTGTTCTTCCTACCCTTTCATATGTACTTTGTAATCACCATGGTTTTCACTCTCTAAGTAGCAATAATTCGAAAATTTGTGCATTACAGCACTTCTCTCTTTTAGACCAGACGACTCGGCTCTGAACAATTTTCCTATGAGTACAACAGTTACGATTACCGAGGAAGAAGATATTAGTCCTTAGCTTCTGGGAGATTGTCTGTGCTGCAATCTACATCTCACGGGTCATCAGGTTTTGGTTCTTCTTCGGAATTACTGCTCTTTTTGAGCTAGTGTTTATTCTTTGTCATCTGTTTCGTCTAGGGTCTTCTCGATGAACTTCGGTGTATGGTACGGTTTCAAGCGCTTCATACGGACCAAATAAACCCATGAGTTTTACAGTATATAGCTTCTATTCCATTGCCATTTTCGTTCACTTCACAATTCTGAAGGGACCTTTATATTTTACGGGCTTGTGCTTTTATAATTATTTCTGAATAACCAATAAATCTAGCTGACCTTAATATATTTATGGTACTGTTGGCGTTCATTCTATTTATTCATACGTAGATCCTTGGCATTAACAACGGCCTCCTCGCGCCTAAACCATACAGGAATATTTTTACTATTCAATTTATTGTCGTCGACAAAATTGATCTTATTTATATTTAGATCAGTACGTAATAGTGTTTCTACCATATACCAAATAGAACGGAGTGAATCCTTTAAACTCACTCTACGTGGTATTATATGCAAAAGCAGAATAATTTATTAATTCTGACCAAATCAATGGTTTGGCTTATAGAAATGATTTAAAATATTTCTATTTGTTCTAACAGTTCTTTCTGTTATACCGCTTTCTCGAAGATGATAAGCAGTTGCATGCTTTGAGTTAATGAACTTAATTTGCGAAAATGTCTACAATCCTTAGAGATAAAACGGGGTCCTTGATCAGTGCTTACTTCTCAATGATCATCGTGCCTTAAAACACAATGAAAATTTTTATGAAGTCAATAACACCATTGGAGCATTCGCTCCGGATTGCCGCTATTTGCACAGAAACCAATCAGAGACTGCAGTTATCGTATGGGTACATCCTAAATTATCTATAAGCCATGAGAAAGATCGATGTAAGAGAACTCTTTTAAAATGTGCGTGGACTGATACCTGCATTGACCATTAGGACTTAATCTTAGACTAACAAGCTGGACATGCTTTTACGTAATCACGAATAACACGAAACATTTTGGCTAAAAATATAGTCGAGTCTGCATAAGTCGACACTCAAAGGGGAAGTGAAAATGCTTTTATGTAAGGAGCTTTTATGTGTAGAGTTATCCGATATGACGACTAAAACGAAGTTGAAAAAAAACACAAAACTACAATTAAAAATATACAGTAGTGCTTTATACAATACTGTATATGCAATGTATCTGTGATCATCTATCACTGGCACTGGTGTTGTTTTCTACTTTTCTTTCAGTATCAGCTCCGAAACAGGATAAGTAGATGAGCGAATTTGCTTTAGCCAACATACGAGAGCATTGTCGAGGTCATTGTACGGCGAATTTCTCTGGTATTTTCGAGACAGCCTCGACAAAGATTCAAGAAAACATTTCTTAATTTCTCGTTTTTTCAGAATTCCCATTCATGTTGTTCTTGGAAAGTTTACTTGTTTTGAAAATTTGGCTCGGGAAGTTTTATTACATTCAAATCCAAATACCAGTTCGTATTTTTCTTTCGGCGTAAGCGTTGTTATGTTTTGGATACTCATTTTCAACAGAAATGTTAAAAACTTGCTGCAAATAACGCATGAATGAAAGATGATGAAATGCGAAATTTATTCTGCTGTAATGTTAATCTGAGTGGCGTGAACTCATTTTTTTCAGGAGAGGAGTCAACTTATCAAATGCTTAAACGAGTGTGGGACAGAAAAAGTATGTCAATTTATCCGGTGGTGACGAGCTAAAACAAACTGTATCTTAAAATTTCATGTTAAGTAGTCGTGTGATTGTTTTAAAATTGCACCGGAAATCGACCCATGGACTTTACATAACGAATTTTAATCTAGAATATCGCAGCCTATAGATCAAGTTTGAAAATTTAGGCTTCGTCATGACATCGATCTTATGGAGTTCTATATACTTGCAAAAGATCATGTTTAATAGTCGTGCGGTTACTTTAAACTTCAATCACAGACCAAACACTTTTTGATTTATGAAGAGCTTTAGAAAAAAACACAAATGACTTTATAATTTTTTATATTTTGAAGATATAACAGCTAGTTTTTAGTATTAATATGAATATTTCTTAAACTTCTTGGTCATTCACTATGAAAAGCAATAAGCGAGTTTTTGCTTTTGGCGAAAATAATACTAATTTTAATTAAGACGAATTCCGTAAAATAACTTTCTTTAATAATAAAAATATTTAAATATAATTTTTTGGCAAAAATAGTGACTTAATTAAATGGAATATTTTAAATGGAATTTTTTTTAAGTTTGTTAATTAATTGTTACTTCTTCTAGATGTATTTTTTTAATTATATTTTTATTTTTAAAATCTGTACTTTTCTTTAGTATAATTTGACTTTGAGAGAAAAAATTTATTATTTGCATGTATAATCATATATATTTCGCAAGAATGAAATCATATTATCTATTAATCTATTTGAATCAGATACAGTTGAAATTATTACATTGCAGTTACTTGAAAAGTTGGCAACGTGGTTGCTTGACTTTCCTGGCATTCATATTTTAAACGAGTACATTTATTATTCGGTAAAGTAAAAATGACATAAGTCAAAATTTTTTCCTCGACTTTTCCAATACACAAATTTCCTCGCAATATTTCAGAAATTTCATCAAAGGTGACAGGAGTTATTAACCTTCAAAGCGGATAAATAAAATTTTGTCATCCAGAAAAGCTCCAGAAAAGAGTTTTATGACTTTACCAACAGAACAGTTGAAATTTAATGCAGTGCCACGTGTTATGAAATTTCTTTTAATAAATTTTTATATTATTATTTATTAAAATATAACAAAAAAGATATTTTTAGACGAGAGTTGAGTTTTATTGAAATTTTTAAATGCTGGTAAAAGCAATTGAGTGATGCCACACAAGATATGAAAAATGATCCGCGCTATCATCACCTCTTCGACTACATAGCTACAAAAATTTAATAGCGTACACAATTCAGAAAATTTTCAGTAAAAAACACGAGTTACTAAACTTCAAATTGAATGAGAAAATCGAGAAATACGCAGTCATTAACACTAGAATCCGTACATACAGCAAATATCCACACGTTTCTTGCAATTTTCGATGCTACAGAATCTCCCGAATCGAAATAGGTAAAAATCTTAAAGAGTTAGTTTTTGATCCATGTCGTACTTTCCCTGTTATATCTAACAGCCCATTAAAAGTTTCTAATTTTTAATAAAAATATTATAAATAGTTTAATCGTTTATAATAACGAGTATTGCTTTTAAAGTATATTATTGCATTCTAACCATTTCAGTTTGTAGTGTTTAGTTATAAAAATAATCTTTAGTCTGTTAAATATTTTGAAATGTTGGACGCTGTAAGTAAATTAAAAAAGAAATTGAAAATAATTGTAAAAAGCAACCATATTTAAATTAATCTTTAAGAACATGAAAAGTGTTTTTCTTTCTGTTTTTTAAAGTTATTCGATAAATGTCTTTATAAAAATAATGTGTTAAATTATCGATTATTAATTTATAAAAAATACGTTACCATTCATATAAAACAATTGTGAGATTCTGAAGATTTTAAGTCAAAATTATTCTAAAAATTAATAAAAAATAATTTAAAAATTAAATGTAATATTTCGACATTTTTATCAAAGCTAAAAATCAAAGCAAAACAAGAAACAAATGTTTCTTGTGATGACAGTCAGTATCTGAGAGAGATCTTTATCTCCCATATACTAAACCAAAACGATTCATCATCTTTACTCTGTCAGATGATCTTAACTCTTAACATTCATTGGAGGAGATAAAGAGTATAAAAGAGGGATACGCGCAAAAATCATAAGGTATCCCCTTATTATAAATTTTTGTGCCATACTCCCGGGGATTGGAACTTTCTTTCCCCAAATAGAATCGGGATAAGTCAAGTTATTACAGAGGTAATATAATATCGTTTGTAAACTCTCTCTCTTATCTCCCATATTAGAGATTACTATATTGTAACGACCTCTAAACTACATGGTATATTTAGTTATGTTTTTTGTAATCAGTTTTCTTTTTGTTGTTAAAATTTTGTTGTTTATTTGTTCACTTAGTTGTCTTCAACTTAGTGCATAACGGTCACCTTATCACTTACCCGCATCTTCCCCATTCGTCATTTAATTAGCCCTCCTTTTAATGATAGAAAAATTTATACATCGTGAGTTAAACTGCGATTAGAAATAACAATTAGTTGATGTCAGCATCCTGAAGTGATCGAGATCAAGGGTGGGCAACCTTTTTTATAACATGGGCCAGAATAAATTTTACGTTTTTCCCGCGGGCCATAGTAGTTAATTAACACCTTGTGACCTGTAAATTTTTAGTCTGCAAATATTAAATAAATAAATAAAAAGAAATTAATTAATTACAGTCGACCCCCCTGTAACACTGTTGTTTATTCCGTTTTATATGAATTCCATGTTGTATAAGTCACTTAGATTTTACAAATGAGTGTGCCGGGCTGTGAACGGCTCACCTATTTGTAAAATCTAAGTGACTTTAAACACAATAAAAACATCACTATGTAGTTGGATACGACAGACATTACATTTTCTAATTGCATAGCTTTTGCACATAGATTTTCTTGATCGATGAGATATAAATAATTTAGAAAAATTCTGTTCTCCCATTTTTTGTTTGAATAAGGAAATGACTCCCTTATTTTTTCCTGTCATTGCTGCCACAACACTTCAGAAAATAATATTCAATTTAAACTAGACGAATTACGTCGAAAAATATTTATTTATAATTTCTTCTAAACATCTCGCGGGCCGGATAGAAACTTTTCGCCAGCCCCGCGGGCCGGGGGTTGCCCACCGTTGATCGAGATAACACTTCCACTAAAAAGGGACATCCTTTGACAACATGAGAGGACCTCAAGTTAGGGTAGGGAAAGCGTTAAAATCACTTCGATAACGGCCTCTGTAGTCTCACAAGGACATGTAAAAACAGTATAATCGTTTGTTTTGTAATATGTAGTTTTCACGTAATTTTTACCATAACTTTTGTACCTGACAAGTTAACATCTCTAATTAAAAAAAATACGCATTCTTTAAACATTCCTATACAAAATTTACAAATTTTCCTGCAATTTTTGCTAGGTTTTCTACCTCATACCGTAAATAATTTGTTGGGTTAATATTGAAAATGTGATGTTGCTTAAAAATTTCTTGCTCTTATAGTTTGATTCTGTCTTATATATGTATACACACACACACACATATATATATATATATATATAATCGAGACAAGTTGATAATAATAATAAGCGCAGAGCCCAAATGATTAGGAGTTGAAAGTTAAAATTTGGAACACAGTTAGGGTACGTCACGAGAACGACACTAACAAGGGATTTTTTAAATTCTTCCCCACGGAGGAGAGAGACATGATTAAGGCTTAACACTTTCATCAACAATGGAAGTGTTACTTAACAATAGAAGTATCAAGTAATAATGAAATTGTCAACAATGGAAGTGTTAAGTAACAATGAAATTGTTAAGAGAAAGCGACGTGCAAGACGTGGATGCAGTTTTTTCGTTTTTGCGGGAAATCGAACATATTTTCAGACCCATCTAAAAATTTTTTAATTAGTCTGGAAACAGGGGGACCCAATTCTTGAATTCTGTGAAAACGGGTAAGGTTGAATATAACGTAATAATTTTAATTTTCGCTATTGTTACTTTTACCGAAGGAACGCTGGGCCTACCTGCTAGTTGACTAATAATTAAATTGTGATGATTAGTATTTATTAATTTTTATTATGCCGAAAACCTCACGAGAACATTAATTTTAAAGTGAATTTCGAATTATTAAAAGGTATTAAATTTCTGAACAGCATTTTTAGAATCTATGTAGCAAACATAAATAATTCTTATACATACTTTTGCACTAATATACAATAAAATTAATTTAAATTATACCATTAATTATGTTGAAATCATGAAGATGGTGGTTAAAAATTGCTTAGGATAAGTTCTTTTGATACATCGACATTAATTCAACGCTTATTTTATTTTTATAGGATCCTGTGAAAGTAAGTATAAATTTAATATTTGCAAATATTTTTTATTTATTATATAATTTTTCTTTGTGAAAATCTGTTATCTCTGAAAACTGTTTCTTAAATGTCTATTTAATTACAACCAACATTATACAAAACAGTTAAAATGAAATATGCAGTAGCGTATTTTATGAAAGAGAAAGATAATTTCTGGAAGTGTTCAGGTTATCAGCTTTATTCATTACCTTTGCAAAAATAAATAATTCATATCAATATAAAGCTCTATATGTTTAGGTTGTCTAACTTATTGTTATAATTGTCTAACTTATAACTGTTTTGTAACATCACCCTGTACGTCACTCCACCATGCAAAGTCATGAAGATTTATTACACCTGTCTACACTGATATTGCTGATATTGCCTACTGCTCATACTATTATAATGACGTCTTCACCTTTATATTGTATACTTTTAGGCATAGTTTTAAGTTTACCTTTACTTTGTATAATTTTTAATATACCATCTACTTTAGATAATACCTACTAATGATGCTTACTACTCATACTGTCACAGTGGTGTCTTCAATTTTTATATTGTTTAACTTTAGGCTTAGTTTTTAAGTTGACCGTTACCTTGTATGTTTCTATTATAGCATTACCTTTATTAATTAATTAATACCAACTGATTTCGGACTATTTTCTATTGGGAAAATAGTCCGAAATGCATTTTGGGTTTTCGTTTTCACACTCATGTATGTTTTTGAGTTTATTAAATTGTTTTCACTTTGATCCCTGAGCGTTTGTGCCCATCATTGGTCTGATAAGCCCTCACTATTATCTGCCTCACGGTTGTGGATAATTTAATTAATATAATGTTGTAATAGTTTACAAGAGCACAGAAAAGAGTCAAAATACTCAATTAACTCAAATATATTTTATTTTAAATCTGATTTACAGAAGAAAAAACAAAGTTTTTATATTTTACACTGTGAAAAAGTAGAGTTACAAAAGAAAGTATGCAAATTTGTCCAGTATTTTTAGGACAAAATGTTAGTATTTGTGGCGTAACCAGAGGTTCTGATTATTGAATCACATCTACGTTCCATTAAATCAACCAAATTGTCAAGCACTGATTTGGGAGTTTCATACCGTGCTTTTTGAGTTTCATACCATGCTTTTTGGTAGCAAACATACTTGAATACAATTCATTCGGATTCAAATATGTTTGCTGGCGTATACATCCCAAAGACTCTCTATCGGGTTTAGGTCTGGGGATGGGGCTAGCCATGTCAAGATTCACCTTTTCTGTTAAAATTATTGCTTTACCAAATTTTCTCTGTGTTTTGGGTCGTTGGCCTGTTGGAAGAACTCTTTCCTTGGCATTTAACCATGTGTATGAGGAAGCATTTAATTCTGCAATATGTCCCGATAAACGGTTCGATCCATTATTCCACTAATTCTATGAATTGGATTGATTCCCTTTGCAGAGGAACATTTCCATACTACTCTGCAGCCTCCACCATGTTTTATTATAGGAACTGTGTATTTTGGGTCATATCTCATGTTCACTGGCCATCTGACACATCGTATACCATCACTAGAGAAGACAATGAAGTTAGAATCATCACCCCATAACACCTCGCACCATTTTTATGCGGTCCAAGCGATGTATTCATGTGCACACTCTAAACTCAACTTTTTATTTTTTGCAAAGATTTTCCGGTTTCTTTGCTGGTCATCTCCCATGTAATCCAAAACTAGTCAAACGTCTAAGTACACTCCTTAAGCTTATATCTGAATTACCTTCTTTACTTTTAATATGTGAAACAGTCAAACAAGGGCTGGCTACACTCATTCGCCTGATCAAACGATCTGACTTTGGTATCGTGGGCTATCTGACTTTTTCACAGAAACAATGGTCCTATATATTTGAAAACAATTCACCACTTTCGCGACAACAGTGTTATGCACATCAAGGATTTTACCAATTTAAGTAAAGGTCATTTTTCCTTCAATCACATATCTACTAAGGATGCACCGATAAGCAAAGTGGCCGATTACCGATTAATCGGCCATGCATTATTGGCCGACAAGTGTTACTAATTTATTGCATTAATAGTGTGAGATCGTAGAGTTAATTAGAAAGTTAATTATAATGTGGAAAAAACCCATTCTTCTCCATCTAGTATTTTCATCTTTCTTGGCACAGGTAAAGAAGAGACGATCGTATATCTTTGCAAAATCAACAATCTCTTCCTTTGTTTGTGAAAGTTTCTAAAATAAATCTCAACACTTATTCGTTGACACATGGAAACTTCAACATTCTTTAAAAAGCTGAAGTGTTTTTGTGTTTAACAGAAACAAAATATATTTCTTTAACCGCTAATATTTGGACAGCAACTACAAACAATTCTCCTCTTTTAAGTGTAACAGCCCACTGGTTGAAGGATGATTTTCAGCAGAAAAGAGCTATTCTGCAAATTGTTCCCTTTGAAGGTTCCCACACAGCTACACGAATCAATGAACAGATAAAAATTGTTCTTGAACAGTATAAGTTGACAAGTGATAAGATATTCTTAGTACTAAGAGATTCTGCAGCAAATATGGTAGCTAAAATTAAGAATTGCAACTTAGAAGCATTATCATGCTTTATACATACACTGCAACTGATACTAAACGAATGCATATTTTCTGAACAAGATGTGAAAAATATAATCACAGTTAATAAAAATATTGTCAGACATTTTAAACATTCTGATGTAACTGTAAGCAAATTGGAAGATTTGAAAGAAAAGTTAAGTTTGCAGAAACACAAATTAATTCAAGATGTTCATACTCGCTGGAATTCTACATACTACATGTTAAAACAGCAAAAACTCTTGTCAGATATGCTATAGATAATAAAATTTTTACGTTGAGCTCATATCAGTGGTTTCTCGTTCAAAAAATTGTTCTACCCTTAAAACCATTCAAAGAAATTACTGTGGAAGCCAGCAAACGAGAAACCATTTCATCTTCAATAATTCCCATAATAGAGACTGAAATTACTCTTATCAAAAGCAAAGATCAGTAGATCCTTTAGTGGCATTAATATCATAATAGAAGAACTAGAAAATCCAATTAAAAAAGCTTTTCAGCATGTATAGAAAACAAGTCTTTATGCTTGTCAATTTTATTAGATTCAAAATAAAATTTCTAAAAGAAAATATGAGCAATTGATAGCTTAGAAAATGTTGATAATTCAAAAACTCAATAAGAATTAAATTCTGAAGCTTATGCTTCTGGAGATGATCAAGATGGAGGTGAATCTCTAAGGTTTTCGATTTATTTAATGAATTAGCTTGTGGTAAACAAAAGAATGAAGAATACCATGTTTTTGAAAAGAAAGAAAAAAACGAAAGAAATGAACAAACGTTTCGATCAAGAATTAGAAATATATTAACGTTTACCCCTTAAACAAATACATAGTGACCTATTTTTGTGATTGAGATGTTCAAAAGAACTTTTTCTTAATTTGAGCAAAATAGCTATGAAATATTTAAGTGCCCCAGCATCTTCCATTGAAAGTGAAAAAATTTTCAGCACTGGAGGTAACATTTATCAGCCGGCATGAAACAGGTTATGCCCTGAAAATGGCGAAATTCTTATGTTTTTGGATTACAAATTATATTACATTTTTATTTCTTTTATATGTTTGAAGTTTAAACTTTAAAGAGACTTTTGAAAATGTTATATTATACTTATAATATGTATCGATATAAGTAATAGTTTGAACTGTAAAATTTTTTAAATATTTAGTTTGTCATGTAATAAATAATAAATATATAACAGAAATTTATTAGTTTTTATTACTAGCATTATACCTAACATTCTAACAAAACTACCAAAATGCAAAATTGGCCGATTATCAAAACCAATTAATCGGGGAAATGGTCGATACCGATTAATCGGCGAAATGGCCGATACGGCCGATTACCGATTACTTACCGATTAACATCTACCATTTTTTGTTTGATATCACTTGGTAATTGTATTCCTCTAGACAACTTACAAGTTAGTTGATTCAATTGAATATTGATGTGATGCAGTAATCAGAAGCTCTGTATACGCCACAAAATACTAATATTTTGTCCTAAAAATACTAAACAAATCTGCATACTTCCTTTCGAAGCTCTACTTTTGTCACAGTGTAAAATATCGAAACTTCGTTTTTTGTTTTGTAAATCAGATTTAAAATAAAATCTGTTTGAGTTAATTGAGTATTTTGACTCGTTTTTGTGCTCTTTTTAACAATCAAAAAATTATGTAGTAGGTGGTGAACAAAATAGAGGTGGCATTTTTAAAACAGGTCAAGGGTAGCTCTACTTTCGGCCACTACAGTATAAATGGTTTTATTTTATCAATCGTCAATATACATACATATTTTTAGATTATATCGTATCATCCATAACTTTTATGGAACAATGAACTCAAAATTTGTTTATCTTTCTGTGAGAATTTTTTATAGTTGTACTCTTTTTCTTTAAATTATAGAATTATTGATATTTTTATGAAAGACGCTTCAAGTGTTATTGTAATTTTTGAACGATCCGAATCAAGTAAAATGTATTCTATTTTACTTGTAAAACTAAACAAAAAAAATCTATGCTTAATTCAGTACTAATTCTTAAACATAATTTCGTGCATACTTGTTGTTGAAAAAATAATAACATTTTATTAAATATTTCAGATGGTTCAAGTAAGTGTAAACACATGCTTTTTATTTATTAATATATTTGTTTATCACAAATTTAAAACTCATAAACGATTTCTTATTTTATGAAATAGTATAAAATTTACATTTTTAATTCATAATGTTTTTGTGAGGATTAAGTATATTTAGACTTACCATATATTATATATTGAGTTTGCTGGCCTAAATATAAGAATTATGTTTTATAACTGTATTTTTTTTAAAGTAAAAACTTGATTTAGTGCAAACGGATTTACCGAAGCTAGCGATGGCAGGAAAAAAGCCCAAAAGAGTCCTTGTATTGTTTTTGTCAGTGCGTTGATACTTTTTAAATTTAGAGCTTTGGAGTATTTCGTTTAATGTATTGTGCTTCCTGTAGTTTTGTGAGTTAGACAAAGTAATTAATGTACAGTACGTTGCATTATTGTATTACTATTAATTTGAATTGAATAAATATAAATTTACAGCGTTGTACAAGTGCTTTATGCTAGCAAAAAAGAATGTACTAAGTAAAAAAAGAGAAAGATACTGTCCATTTCTAGCGAAGTTGAAAAACAGATTCATACCTATGCGACAGACAACAAGGAGAAAGATGCAAATCTTCTATTATATCTGAAATTTTGACTAATAAAAACAATAATAATGAAAAAACTTTCACAATAAAAATATACATTTATAAATAATAAAAATATATGTAACATAACAAATTAATGTTTGACACTTCTAGTATGCTTCAATTAGTATTATTTTAAAATTGTGCGTATAGAAACATCTATACTACTTATTAACAAAAAATTACAATACTTACCTAACTGAAAGTTTAGTGTGCATTTTTTCATGAACAACACAAAATATGAAACTTTTTACACCCTACATAAACAATGTCTGTGTATATTTATTATACTCATTAATCAGCCAAATTAACTCAAACGTTTTTCTGTTACAAATAGAAATGAAATAACAGAAAAATAGAACAACAGTTTGACCATGACAAAAAAGAATAGAATATTAGCTAAATGTGGGTAAAATATAGCAAATACCACAAAATAAACTTAATATTTTGTTGCGTCGCGTTTTGCCATAATCATTGCTCGCAATCTCTCGGGAATGGTGCGGATTAATGCTTCGCATTCGTTTCTGGTAATACAGTTATAAATATGTCGAATGTACATCGTTAGTTCCTATTTAGAAGTTGATCACCGTTCATTACATCGTTGTTTCATGATTCCCCACAAAATTTCAATGGATTTAAATCTGGGGAATTGCTTGGCCAAGGCAGGATTGCAATCTGTCATTCTTGTAACCAATGTATCGTTCACTTCGCAGTATGAAAGGATGCTCCATCTTGTTGAAATAAAAATGTTTTTTCAATAATATCATCTGCCGATGGTATCATAAATATCTCTAAGATGTCTTTATATGTCTGAGCATTGACAGGTTCCCGAAGAATGCACAGTTGTCCTACGCCGTTAGCATTCATTCATCTTCAGATTAAGACTGATAATGCAAACTTCACGAACTCTTCATACAGTCCTTTTCGAAGGCCGCTTTGGGTGTTCGGCATACAGGTGTGCCTTAGTCTCTACAAGAGAGAGAAAACAGGGATTCGTCATTGAAGAGAACGTTATTCCAGTTCTCTTGTTCCAGATGAGTCTCTCTCTGCACCATCTGACACTCGCTTGTCGTTGCTTTTTCGTTAGAGACGGCATCGTCTTGAAAACACAGAAGTTGAAGTGAGAGTCGTGCAACCTTCAATCTGTGCTTTGGCTACTAACGTTCACTGCAGTTACTCACCATTGTGCACGGAAGGATTTAGCGCTCCTAAAGTGGTTTTGCACAACAATCCTTCTCGAGCTTCTCTTATACCTGGCAGTCGTTGCTCGTTTACGTCCACATTTCTGGCGTTTAATGGTGAAAACTTGAAAAAGGTTTTGCTGTTTCAGAACTCTAGAAGTTGTAGGATGCGAGCATTTTATATAATTTGCAATTTATTTTTGTGTTTTTTTTTACTTTGTACATTGCTATGATAGTATTTTTAGCTCTGGTACTGATGTCGCGTTTATGCCAATGTTGAATTGTTATACTGCTCTACTCAGCAATATAGAAATTTGCATTACAATATAGTTTTTTAGAGTGTTTGTTTGGTTGTTTCTGCTAATATTCTAATTTTTTGTCATGTTCAAACTATTATTCTATTTTTTTGTCATTTCATTTCCATTTATAACAAAAAAAATCGTTTTACTTAATTTGTCTGATTAATGGGTATAATAAATATACATAGATATTGTTTATGTAGGGTGAAAAATAGTCTCGTACTCTGTGTCGTTCATGACAAAATGCGCAGTAAACGTTTAGTTAGGAGAATATTTTAAGTTTTTGTCTAGGAGTTAAGTATTATTATTTGATGGTATTTGCGTTATGAAAAAATCAATGGATTTTGTTTTAATTTTTTATTTATTGAACTATTAAAAAAATAAAAGAACATAAGTGTCGCTTTCTGCCTAAAAGTAATAACATCGCTCGCTAATACAGTAGTTTCTTCGACCATAATATTATCTTTGAATGAAAAGAAACGCAATCTATGTATAATATTAAAGAGTAGAAATACATAGAGCTGTAAGAGAATATCGACGTTTATATGAGTTAAAGTTCGTTAACAGGCTAGCTAAATGCAGTTTTTTCAATTTTCTATACGTAACATGTATACTGTATTATGTAAATAAAAACAGTTTCTCAAACAAACAATCCTCTTAAAAAGCATTCCGCTAGGCAGAATTACCATGCGTTATCTTATACCATAGAACTAAACTGTCCAAGTAAATAAAAAAATGTATTGGATTTCTGATAAGCATTTTTAAAATCAATGTAGTAAACATAAGCAATAAATCTTAAACATAATTTTATATACTACACTATTGAATTAATTTAAATTATACCAATAATTATGTTGAAAGACTGAAAATAGAGGTTATAAGTTGCTCTAAAAGAGTTCTTTTTCGTCATGGACTTTAATTAAATAACTTTTTTATTTCTATAGCCTTTTATAGAAGTAAGTATAAATTTAATACCCTCAGATACTTTTATTTATTATATAATTTTTCTTTGTGAAAATCTGTTATCTATCAACACTCTCAGACGCGAAATTAGTTACAACCACCATTATACAAAACAGTTAAGGTAGAATGTACAGTAATATTTTATAACATATAAAGTAAATAATTTCTGGAATTCTTCAGGTTATTAGTTCTTATGTCGCCTTATTTCCACATAATATAATTTAGAAACGACACAAAAACGCAATATGTTTGGAATAATTTTATAATGAATAATACGGCTTATTGTTATATCATTTTTGTACTGATTAAAAATTTTTATTACGTTATAATTTTAGCAGTTTAGTTTAAATTTTTATAATACTAAAAATATAAAAGGTGTAGTAAATGTTAAAAATAATGTAGAAATTAAACTTATTTACAAGATTTATTATATTATAATTTAATTAAACTGAATAATTAGATTGCTCAATAGGGACTCAGATACAAGAAACATTTTGAAAGTCATCAAACTCATCAAAAGTTTTACTAAAATATTACATTCTGATAATACCGCACTTCGATGAAGTCTACACGTTCAAAGGATTTCAGCAGAGAGTTAAATTTAGTCTAAAAGGTTTTCTTTTCTGAGATAAATACTGGGAATGTGTAAATATTCTTAATGGCTTTTGACAGTTTACCCAAATTGTTCCAGTTGCCAAGATTACCAGATATATCATATTTGAATTTTGCAAATGTTCTATAGACTACCGCTATTATTGACTCATGCAGCTTATTAAAGGACTTGCTGTAGTTATTTATAAATGATTTGATATTGTCAATGTATTTACAAATTTTTAGACTATACTTATTTATTTAAATCTTTCAACAAACTAAATATTTGTTTTTTTGTAAAAATTTCTCATCGTATTACTTTTTTTTCAAAATTATAAAGTTGTTCTTATGTAAAATCTTTTAAGTGTTACTGTAATTCTTAAACAACCAAGGAAAAATTGAAAATTTATCCTACTTTACTTCTGAAATAATAAACAATTTATGCTTAATTCGGAACTAATTGTTAAACATAATCTTGTGAACATTTCTTGTTGGAAGTAATATAATTCTGTTGAATTTTTCAGATGATTAGTAATGTAAGTATAACAATACGCTATTTTTTATCAACGAATTTAAATATCACTAATTTGAAATTAATAAACAATTGTTTATTTAATGAAATACTATTTAAAAAATAATTTGTTTTTCATAATGATTTTGTGCAGAGTAAATACATTTAGACCTGCCATACATCGAACATTGAATTTGTTGGCGTACATATAAAAATTATTATTTTTTTAAACAGTTTGTAAATAAAACAACTATAGACTTAGTGCGGCAGGCGGTATTGAATATCAATTTGTCGCAGGAAGCATGTCCAAAAGTCATAGTATTGTTATCGTCAGTGCGTGTCTATCTGTTAAATTTAGAAAAGCGTAGTTATATTTAGCTCAATATATTGTCCTTTGTGTATTATTGAATGTTTCCTGGTAACACAGCAACGTATATTTCTGGTAGTTACGCACGTAGAATACTCTTATGTATACTGTTATGAATATCAACGGACTCCACTAATTAGATATCTTGGATGAAACTAAGTAGTTTAAATTACTTAGTATAACCAGTATACCTAATTTTACTGTATTAGAAAACGGAAAATTCAATTCATCTTTGTACAGAAACACACACACACACATGTATAATATATGTATGTTTATATATATATATATATATATATATATGTGTGTGTGTACTTTCATCTGTTTTTTAATGTGTCTGTGTTGGAATGAGTTTGCGCGTGCATTTACAATATACTTTTAATATACTAACAAAATATTTTAATTAAGAAGTAAAGTACAGTACATCTATTAGATTGACATAAAGATTACTAAAATCTAAGAAGTTAATTTCTAACATCTGATGAAACAGTTCAGTTAAATTTATTAATTTGGAGAAGATTACATATCTCTAAATGGGGAAATGTTAAAACAAGTTAAGAAAATATCTTCATTGAAGAATTTATATTGAATAAATTTATAAACTTTATATAGNTATATTATTATTTATTAAAATATAACAAAAAAGATATTTTTAGACGAGAGTTGAGTTTTATTGAAATTTTTAAATGCTGGTAAAAGCAATTGAGTGATGCCACACAAGATATGAAAAATGATCCGCGCTATCATCACCTCTTCGACTACATAGCTACAAAAATTTAATAGCGTACACAATTCAGAAAATTTTCAGTAAAAAACACGAGTTACTAAACTTCAAATTGAATGAGAAAATCGAGAAATACGCAGTCATTAACACTAGAATCCGTACATACAGCAAATATCCACACGTTTCTTGCAATTTTCGATGCTACAGAATCTCCCGAATCGAAATAGGTAAAAATCTTAAAGAGTTAGTTTTTGATCCATGTCGTACTTTCCCTGTTATATCTAACAGCCCATTAAAAGTTTCTAATTTTTAATAAAAATATTATAAATAGTTTAATCGTTTATAATAACGAGTATTGCTTTTAAAGTATATTATTGCATTCTAACCATTTCAGTTTGTAGTGTTTAGTTATAAAAATAATCTTTAGTCTGTTAAATATTTTGAAATGTTGGACGCTGTAAGTAAATTAAAAAAGAAATTGAAAATAATTGTAAAAAGCAACCATATTTAAATTAATCTTTAAGAACATGAAAAGTGTTTTTCTTTCTGTTTTTTAAAGTTATTCGATAAATGTCTTTATAAAAATAATGTGTTAAATTATCGATTATTAATTTATAAAAAATACGTTACCATTCATATAAAACAATTGTGAGATTCTGAAGATTTTAAGTCAAAATTATTCTAAAAATTAATAAAAAATAATTTAAAAATTAAATGTAATATTTCGACATTTTTATCAAAGCTAAAAATCAAAGCAAAACAAGAAACAAATGTTTCTTGTGATGACAGTCAGTATCTGAGAGAGATCTTTATCTCCCATATACTAAACCAAAACGATTCATCATCTTTACTCTGTCAGATGATCTTAACTCTTAACATTCATTGGAGGAGATAAAGAGTATAAAAGAGGGATACGCGCAAAAATCATAAGGTATCCCCTTATTATAAATTTTTGTGCCATACTCCCGGGGATTGGAACTTTCTTTCCCCAAATAGAATCGGGATAAGTCAAGTTATTACAGAGGTAATATAATATCGTTTGTAAACTCTCTCTCTTATCTCCCATATTAGAGATTACTATATTGTAACGACCTCTAAACTACATGGTATATTTAGTTATGTTTTTTGTAATCAGTTTTCTTTTTGTTGTTAAAATTTTGTTGTTTATTTGTTCACTTAGTTGTCTTCAACTTAGTGCATAACGGTCACCTTATCACTTACCCGCATCTTCCCCATTCGTCATTTAATTAGCCCTCCTTTTAATGATAGAAAAATTTATACATCGTGAGTTAAACTGCGATTAGAAATAACAATTAGTTGATGTCAGCATCCTGAAGTGATCGAGATCAAGGGTGGGCAACCTTTTTTATAACATGGGCCAGAATAAATTTTACGTTTTTCCCGCGGGCCATAGTAGTTAATTAACACCTTGTGACCTGTAAATTTTTAGTCTGCAAATATTAAATAAATAAATAAAAAGAAATTAATTACTNGGCAGTTTATTCTCTGTTATATTCTCAAGTAAACAATACATAAAAGTACAGTACAGTATTTTCTGAGGAAACACTCGTACTTATTTTTTTTAACCCCATTCCCGATAACCCGGCATTTTCACAAACTCGGCCACCCTTCGGTCCACATTAGGCCGAGTTTTCGAGGTTCTACTGTATTTTTTTCTCTTTATCAAAAATTGCTATTATAAACTGTTCGAAAATAAATGACTATTTACTTATTTATTTCTGTTTATCATAGTTTTACATTTTTCATTTCTTTAAATTTTATGCCAAATTACATTTATCTGAAATTTCAACTAATCGTAAACATTAAATGTTTTTTTTTGTAAAATTTTCATAATGTTTTAATACAAGTGTCAATTTTTAAGTGTATTTTTAAATAACTTTGATGCATTTTTTACTCATTTTATTATATTTGTTTTAACAATACTAAAATGTAAAATTGCAGATTTGGAAAATTGTAACACTGCTGCAATAAGAGAGAGGGTTCGATTTTAAGACAGAAATACATAACGTTTTAATAGTCGGGCTATTCCGAATATAGCTGATTTAGTTTCACCATTCCTCTAACAGTGGCTAGTTAATAAAACAACTGAATACTGATAGTTGGTCGCGGATTTGCCCAAGACTATCGGGCTGGACACCTGAAGATTTTCGAGTTTTCTTCAATTGTTTAAGACGTAAGAGCTCGTTTTCATAGAAAGCTTTTTTTGAGACTTGTCCCTCTTGGCAGATATCCTTTATTTATGAATCGTAAAATAAATTCTTCTCAGCTATTCGGTTGTTCTGATGTGGCAATAAATTAGTTTATAATGGACTCTTAGTATCGACAGGGCGAAAAAATATTATTTAGTAACGATAGAAGTAAAATTTTATGAACTAGAAACCGTAATAAAAATTTTTGCAGTTTCGATTTCAAAAACTAAGCTTTTATTCACAGACATGGCAATAAGTTTTAATTGAAAAATAATGTTGAAAATAATTTGATTAAATACATAATAACATTGTTAACTAATATTCTAATAAGGTACTTTTATAAGCTGCAGTCGAAGTACAAATTTTCTTTCGTTTACGTACATAATACTTTTACTGAATTTTTCACTAGAATTAATGTTAATCATGTATTTACGTCAATTTACCATTTCCATCGGTTTGTTGATTACAAATGTAAATAAAATTTAACTACAATATATATGATATAGTCCTATTCTAAATCTGTATCTTATTAATGATTGCGAAATTAGGACAAATTTATGATTTTATTTAGAAATGTCTAAACATACA